CGCGATGTGCCTGCAGCCGCCGTGTGCAAGCGCAGGGAGAGCCCGGAAGGTAGGGGCGCGCGGGGCACCGGCTGGGGGAGGCGCGGAGGGGAGCCCCGGGCCGGCGGCCGGGTGGTCAGGCCCGCTGGATCTCATTCCTAGGGCCGCCTCGACCCCTGGTCCTGGCAGCCAGCCCCCCCCAAACCCGCTGCCGGAACAGTCCTGGGGCCCCCTCCTCCGTCCGCCCGCCCCCTCCCCGCGGTCCTGCGCTCCCACTTTTGATCCTAAACCTCCTCCCACTCCCGCGTCCCCGCCCTCGGCGCTCACTGGTTCCCCCCTTCTGACTCCCAGATGCCTTCCCTCAAGACCCTGCCCCTCTCTTTCCGGCCCCCAGCCCCTTCTCCGGAGATCTGGCTCCGGAGCCCCCCGCGCCCCTCTGCCCCGCCGCGCTCTGCTCAGCCGCCCGGGCCTCCAGCGCTCCCTCCTCCCGAGATTGCCGTCCCCCTCTCGTTCGCGTTTGCATCCTTGCCCTGGGGTTGCGCCGAACCCCGTTCTCCTGGCGTGCCCGCCTCGCTCCGATCCGGCCCCGGCTCTTGACGCCTCGGTGATTCTGATCTCGGGGCTCTGCCGCACCCCTCTTTGCCTCTGCTCTCGGTTCTCTGGTAACTTTTGGCTGGGCTGCGGGTGGGAGTGCCCAGACTCAGGGGCTTCCTGTCATCCTCACCCCAGGTGACAGCTTCGCCGTGAGCGCTGCCTGGGCTCGGAAAGGCATCGAGGAGTGGATTGGGCGGCAGCGCTGCCCGGGCGGCGTCCCAGGACCTCGACAGCTGCGGTTGGCAGGCACCGTTGGTCCAGACAGCCGGGTATGGTCCCCCACTCTTCCCCACCTCCTCAACCCCTTTGAGCCTCAGGGATAGATCTTCTCACCCCAGCTGCCCAACTTTTAGCATCTAGGTCCCCAAATCCCTTCTTAGCCCCATGTTCCACAGGCATGACCGGTGCCCCATGCTTTGGGGAAACTTAGGGGTCAGGGGAATCCTAGCCCAGTTGGAAGCAGAGCACTTTAAGGGGGGCGGGGTGGTCCTAGGTGAGGAGGTGCAGGTGATGGGGAGGCTGGTCTGTGCTGGAGGAATGGGGGTCTACTCTGCCTTCTGCTTGCTTTCTGTGTCCAACAGTCAAAGAGTCGGAGGTGTTGGAGGTGGGATAGTGAAGGTTCTAGCCATGTCTGGTGGAGAGCAGGGCTGTGCTGGCCCAAGATCTGTGGCCACTTCCAACTGGGTCTGTGGCATTCATCAGTGCCATCTACCATCTAAGTGGAAAGCTTGGGGTGCTGAGACCCAGTGGCCCCTTGGTGTGGCCCTCAAGGAGAAACAGGGCCTGGCCTGGGCACAAGCTTGTGCCTTCAGCCAGGGGCTCTCCAAGAGGAGGAGGAGTGAGTGTGACAGGGAAATGAGATGAGGGAGTCCAGCCCCAGTTCCTGGCCTGGGACTGGCGTTCACAGATGTCCTGTGAGCTCCAGAACTCTGCACGGGGCTTTCAGATGGTCTGCGTGGAACTCTCACAAGCTGAGGATCAAAGGATGAATCAACTTTTTGATGTGACATTTAATTTTTTTTTTTAACTTAGAGGGGAACAGACTCAGTCTCGGGTCTGGTTAGTTCTTTGGTCTTGTCCATGGCTGGGGAGAGGCCAGTGGAGTGTACAGATGTGTGTGTGTGTGTGTGTGTGTGTGTGTGTGTGTATACGTGTACGTACTTGGGTGGTAGGACCTGGCAGCTGTGTTGCAAGGCCAGTGTGTGTGTGTGTGAGTGATGTTCTCTGTGTCCGGGAGATGCTCCTCTCTCCCCCTCCACTGCTTTCTCTTCTCTGCTTCTCATCTGGGGGCTGCTCTTCTGGTATAAAGGTCAAAGCTTCGTGGGTGGGGGACACTATGCTTGGGGCCTTTCAACAACAGAAGTACAAACTTCTCCTTCCCCCTATGTTTTAGTTTTTGATCTACTTATTTATTTAAAGACCAATGAAAACGATCCAATTTAGCCATATGAACAAGTATATTTGCAGCTCAACTCAGAGGCCAACTGAGTGGATTTCCATTAATCAACTTTGGGGTTTTCTTCAGCCTGTTTATTTTTACAAAGTATTCCTGCTGAATGACATTTATTTGTAGTCCCTTTCTTTCTTTCTTCTCTCTCTCTCCCCCCCCTCCCCTTTCCTAAACTGCCAGGCAGCTTTTGCTCCATGCTAGAGGGGAAACTTGAAATACAGCAAGGGCTTGCTTCAATTGACTTTTATCTTCAAAGCCATAACAAATGTTACCCGCATGTTTTTGGTAGGTCTCCTTGGCATCCAGTCCTGGAGGAAGGGAGGGAGGAGGGAAGAAGGAGAGGAAAACAAAAGTCTGTCGTTTTTAATTAAATAGTAGTGTTCCCAGCAAGAGGAAAAGTTGCCATTGGGGGAAATGAGAGGGGGTGGGGAGGGGGCCCCTGCTTAAGCCTGTGGCTTTGGTGAAGTCACGGAATTTTGTTCCCTGGTTTCTTCCCCCAGCTGAGGACAGCATGGGAGGGAGCTCACTGCCTCCCTCCCTCCTTCTCTCCCTCCCTCGCCTGCCCTCAAACAAACGCTGAGGGGTCATTAATATTTGTTCAAAGTACTTTTGAAGATGTGAGGCATAAAGCTGGGGGAGGGGCCAAAAGGGGGGTTGGAGGGTAGACTCGGCCCTCAGAGATGTTGAGTAGGGCATCTCTGTTTCTTGGGAGTTGGTCTTAGTGACTGGGATCTGGATGCCTTGTTTCTCACCTGCTGTGGACTAAAATGGTCCGGATTGGGGATCTGTAAGGGTGGGGTGGGGAGTCTGTAGAGGGAGGTGGTCAGGATAAGCCAGGGGTTTAAGGCAGTGTTGTAGAGGCCTGTGAGGTGTTTTCAGGTGGTGCCTGCAGGAATATTTTTAATCTTAATAGGCACCTTTTTAAAAAAAATCAGAAAGAACTAGGGCGTCAAGCCAATAGTTTTGTGGCTATTATCACTTAGGATGAAGCTAAGTTACAAGAGATAGGCTAAAAGCAACTCAGAGAAAATTACCAAGTACAAGTGGCCCTTCCCAGGGAAGTGAGAGTAAAGTGTCCAAAGATTGAGGTTCTGGGCTGGACAAGTGGGCATCCCCTGCAGCTCTGCTTCATTTCCTGCATTGCCACTGGCAGAGGAGTGGCTGTTGGATCGTGGCCTGCTATCATCAGGATGGAGTAGGGCGTGGGTTCCTAAGTCTGCTGCCGTCCAGCCTGGCAGCAAGCCTCCAGCCAGCCCAGGCATGGCCCTTCTGTCTCCATTTCTTCACCTGGCCGGTCACCAAAGTGGCTGGGACACATTAATGGCTTATCTAACTAGCATTATAATTATTGCAATGATAACTACTATTTGTTAAGTGCCAGTGCCTGTGTCATGCACTTTGCTTACATTATCTTAATCTCCCTGGAACCCTCTGGAGTTACCAGCCAGCTGGTATGAACCAACTTTTCCTCCCTCCTGAAGTACTTTCTAGGAGAAGGGAAGTTGCGTGTGGCAAAGCTCTCTGCCACAGCGTCTGCCAGCAGTGGGTTGTGCTGCTGACTACTCAGGGAGGGGCGTCTTGCCCAGCTACCCAGCGTTTCCACGTGAGTTGTTTGTGGTGCAGGTCTGTATTGCATGTAAAGTCCTGGCGTGTGCGGAGAGGAGAGATGACACGGGCACTAAACTAAGCCTGTCCTTCCGAATATAGACATAAAGGAAGTCAGGCTTTGAGCAAGCCATTTTGCTATGTACCTTAATTGGCTCATCTGCAAAATGGGTGTTTTAGTACTTTCATCCACAGTATGACAATGGCAGATAACTCTTCAAAAAGAGTAGAACCTGGGTGGAGATGGAGGCCGGTAAACAGGGATTGTGATTCCAGAGCTCCCTGCGCCCCTCAGTACAGGCTTACTTGAAGGGACACAGCTAAGGCCTGGCTGTTGCCTTTCCATGGTATCTGCTGGAAGTAAGTAGGAGGCCTACAAGGACCCTGAAAACAGAACAATAGATTGAGCCATGCATATGCCAGAGAGACACATGCTAAACAGAATTAGAAGGAAAATGAGTATCATAATCTCCAAGAGTAAAATGTCAGATATTGGAACAGCAGCAACAGGCAGTTTCAAAAGAAAACCACATGGAAATGCTGGGTGTGGTGAAGGCAGAGACTTCAGCTTCATATGGATGGAGAAGCAGAGGACTTCAGGTATGAGGCAGGAGAGTATTAGGGCCTCTGTGCCTCTGTACACATGTGTGTAAGTTTGAGTGTGCACTATAGATTTATAACAGTCCTTCCCTCCCCTCTTCCCCCCCTCCTCCCTCCTTTTCCCAGAATGCTTTTGTTCTTTTATAGCAGCACTGCTTGCAGAAATAGACTGGAGTTGGGGGCAGGCAAAACCCCTTTAGATCAAAGGCGACTGCCAGGCACTTGGGTAATATGATGAGGGGCACCTATTGCATTTTGATATTTGAGGAAGATTAAGAGGGCACAAGCTTAGGTGCCCTCTGGGATGCATGGGGCTAGGTGGCAAGAGTGGAGGCTGGCCCAGCTGCTGCTTGATGCCAGATTCCAGGGGAATTACCCTTGAATGATAGCTGTTGGCACAATTAAAAGGCCTCGTGTCTTCACACATGGTAAGCGTTAGGCCTTCTTACGTGGTTTCAAAGCTATGTGCCGGAAGGTGGACTTGACATTTGAGGTAGAGCATAAATTAAATATTTGCTGTTTTGAGAATTAAAAGATGATCGCTTTGAGGCTGATGGGGCTTAGGGTGGAGGTCCTGTTCCTTACTCGCTGGCAAGTTTGAGTTCTCTGTGCAGGATCTCTTGTGCTCTCAAAACTCAGGGCTAGCTCAAAGGCCTGGAAAGACTGAGTTGGCTCAAGAGCTAGTGACTTTCTCATAGGTTACTGGGCAAATGTGGGAAAGGATATCTCCTGCCCTAGATCATCTGCATGATGGAGTGTCTGCCGGACACTTTTACTTCCCTTCAAGTCTTTTCCTTTCCACACCTCTTCTCTCTTTCTTCCTCTCCCTCCCCCTGTCCTTCTCTTTCAGTACTGGGGTTTGAACTCATGGTCTCATATTTGCTAGAAAGATGTTTTACCACTTGAGTCACTCCATAAGCCCCCTTTTATGTTAGTTATTTTTAAGCCAGGGTCTTCTTGTTTTATACCTGGGCTGGCCTGGACTGTGATACTCCTAGTTGTGCTTTCCCACATCTCTGGGGATGACAGGTGCATGTCTTATAAACTTCAGGCTTCCAACTTCCATTCCACAATCTTCATTTCCCAAGTAGCTAGAATTACAGGCCTGAGCCACCACACCCAGCACTCACCTTTACTGAAGGGATGGATGAATGGATGTATGTTTGCTTACCATCCCTGCCTCCTGCTTCTCCAACAGCATCTCTACTTCATTCTGTTTCTAAGGTCTCACATTCCCCAGTGGAAGAATAGACCTAGGTCTTTCAGGCAGCAGTTTAATTTACCAATAATTACTTAGCATTAGTTATTAATCAGTAACATTGATGATGATCAGGAATGACTTGTTACTCATCCCTTGGGGATACAATGGAGAAAGGACACATGGCTTCCAGTCTACTGAAGGAAACCAGGAGTAGCAGGTGCCCAGGCCTGGGACAGGCAGTGGGCTGCAGGCACTGAGGGGGAAGGTGTGGGAGGAAGGGAGTACACCCTGGGAAGGCTCACTCTTTGACCTTGGAAACGAGGGTGGTGGGCTTGCTGGGAGGCCTCAGTGTCAGGCAGATGACTGGAGGCAAATGGAGGGCTGGAAATCTTTCCTGGTGCTCAATCTGAGAA